CCCAGGAGGCCGCCGAGATGCCCAAATCCTTCAATCATGTACCGAAAATGAATGAGCTTGGCCTTCTCGCCTTTTTGCGTACGATGGTCTTCTGGGGCCTCAAGATGGCTCCAAGATGGCCCAAGAGTGCCCCAAGAGAGGCCCAAGAGAGGCCCAAGAGAGCCCTAAAACGGCCCCAAGAGCGCCCAATAGCGCCCCAATAGCGCTCCAAGAGGGGCCCAAGAGGCAAGTTTAGGTACTCCCGAGAGGCGACGCTACTTGAAGCTCCCCCTTCTTTGATCGATCTCCTCCAAGATGGACCCAGAGCGCCCCTAATGCTCCCAACAGCGCGAAAAGGGCCCCACGACCGCTCCAAGGCGGCTCCGAGTGGCCACGGAGCCCCCCCAAGAGGCTGCCAAGAAGCCAAAATCCCACCAGCCCATTGGGCGACAGGTGGTCTAACGAGGGTATCTTTCCTCTTCGACAACCCCTCTTCCCTTCGGGGAGGGGAACCCTCCCCCTCCCCTCCCTGAGGTTTTTGGGGGAGGGATCGCGAGGTGTCGGAGGGTCCCTTTCTGGCCCCTGGGAGGGCTATGTTCTGCCACCCCTCACGAGGATCATGGCCTCCGAAGGGGGGACGCAAATTCAGTACCCCCACTCTTTTGACCGACCGCCTCCAAGATGGCCCCAAGAGGCCCTCCAGGGCTCCCAGGAGGCTCCCAAGAGGGCCCAAAGCGCACCCCAAGAGGCCCCAAGAGGCCTCCAAAAGGCCCCCGAGAGGCCTCCAGGAGGCCCCCGAGCGGCCCCGAGGGGCCTCAGAGAGCCCAAGATGACCTCCCAAATGGCTCGAGATAGCCCAAGCTGGCTCAAGATGGCTCCCAAGATGCCCCAAGAGGCTCCAAGACCGCTCCAAGACGGCTTAAGATGACCACGGAGCCTCCCCAGGAGGCCGCCAGGGGGCCAACATCCTTCATCAACCAGCAGAAAATCAATGAAGTTGGCCTTCTCGCCATTTTTTCTTTCGATGGCCTTCCGAGGCCTCAAAATGCATCCTCCTCCTCCTCACTCTCCTTGTCTTCGTCATCATCATCCACGTCCTCCTTCTCCTTGTCTTGCTCCTCTTTCCTCCTCCCTCCTCCTCCTCCTCCTCCTCCTCCTCCTCCTCCTCCTCCTGCTCCTGCTCCTCCTCCTCCTCCTGCTCCTCCTCCTTTTCCTTCTCTTCGCCCCCCCCCCCACGCGGGCCCGGAGATGGCCCCTAACACGCCGTCCAGACTGGCCTCCCTTGCTGTTTAACTATGCGTGTCTCTTCCTCTCTCACCCCGTCAACTCGTATGGGCATCGTTTCTGGATGGGCTGGTGGGGATACACGAAGGCGTCAATAATTCGTGCCCTGACGACCCTGGCGTGGGTTTCTGAGGCCGCAAGGATCACTCAGCCTTGAACGATTGGCGAAAATCTCTCGCCGAATCGTTCCGTGTTGGCTGGTCTTGGGCCACCGTAGATGTTCAAGCTTGAACTCCCGCGGCGGGGTCGCCGCCGCGTCGGCACGACACGAGCCTGGCGTAAACGACCACACCCATCCCAGACACCCGACGCCATGATTTGTCCATAGCGTGGCCCCGAAAGTCTCGACCCGTTCCCCAGGACCCTCTCTCAATCCTGGGTCGTTCTTTGACGGCCCAGGGGCCGGCAAGGGCCTCAGGAGCTAGAAATAATAATACGTACCCACACACACACTTATCTATACTATTATGTGTATATATATGTATATATGTGATATTTCTCAAGCGTCGTGTTCCCTTCACGACGCGAGGGGGGTCTGGGTTGTAGACGCCGATCCTTCGGGAGATCTGTTTTTGCTCTTTCGGCGCAAACCCAGTGTGCTGGGCGGGGGGGGGACCGACCAGCTATAACTTGGGGAGCTGTGGTCCTTACCCCCCTGGGGGGACCCATCTCATCGACGATCTCTTGAGAGGGGTGTCGAAATCGATGGGTCTCCCAGGGGGGTAAGGACCACAGCTCCCCCAGTTGTGGCTGGCCTGGGGGAGGTGCTGGCCGATAAATCTGACCTCTTCTCGCCTTGGGCAGCGCCGCGTCTACCCGCGCGAACAAACCCTGCGCACCCCCTTCTGTAGGAACAAAGAAAGGCGACACCAACACCAGCAGGGCGAGGAGATGCGAGGAGACAAAGGGGGAACTCCCTGGTGGTGTGGTCCCCCCCTCTCGCTCGAGACATCCCCAGCCTCCAGCTCGGGGAGGCATCGTGGACCTCCTCGATGGAGGTGGGACCCCTGGTGGTGTTGGTGATCTCCCTCCTCCGAGTTCGGGGGAGAGGGGGGTCGAGCTAACCCGAGTTAATCCAGGCTGCCGCGGGACCCTTCCAAAAACAGTCTCCCCCATGTCGCCCTCCACGCTTCAAGAAAAACATGGGGAAACCTAAAGGTACCGGTACCGCTACTCCCCAGCGCTCTCTCGGGGTGCGTTCATGACCAGCATCTCGAGGCAAATCCAGCGGTGGCGACGAAAGCCTCTCAGGAGGCTTAAAAGAAAAGAAAACGATGGACGTGTAGCGGTATCGGTACAGTCGACCCGCATGGGAAGCATGGGCAACCTTCCCAAGGGTAGCCTTGCATCCTTCCCTCCTCGGTCCATCCTGGGCCACTTTGGTGGGCCGCGCCACGCTCGACAGGCTTCTGGATGGCCTTCCGAGGCCCTTGCCTCCTTATCGCGCATCCTTATGATACGGGCCGACTGTACCTCTTCTGGGGGATGGACACAACCCCCTTTGGTAAAACGTGGTTTAGTAAAAACGACCTCGGGCCCAAACCTGGCGGGCGCAAGCCTGGAAGATGACCGCCGCGGCGCCCTCTCGAGAACCCAAAACGGACCATTCACTCATCGGCGTGTCAGCGTGGGGGTTCCCTCCGCCCCCGCCCTCCCTCCTCGGAGGAGCACCGCCAGCCTTCGCCGCCCCGCGACGCAGCGCCGCCGCCGCGCTCGGCCGCCCGCGGCGGGGCCCGGCCGCAGCCGCGAGACCGCGGCAGGCCGCTGCGGCCGCAACAGCGCCGGCGGGGGGCGGCGCGGGCCGCAGGGCCAGCCCCTGCGGCGCGGGGTGCCGTGCTTCTGCGGGTGCTCCGGGGCGCCAGGAGGCGGTGTGTCTCTGGGCTCCAGCAAGTCTTCGGCGGCAAGTCGCGTGAGAGCATCGCACATACCCTCGTGTCGGCTCTGGCGGATCGACGCGGATCGACGCGGAAGCGACGCTGACCGACACTGGCCGACGCTCCCGGACGACCATCGACGCTAAAGACGGAATCAGGAGGGTACGCCAGGTCCCCCTGACTTGCTGCCGAGCTAAAATGCTTGCACAGCCCTGGGCTCGGACCCCGGGCGCAGGTGGGGGCGCCGCGCGGTAGCTCCGGGGCGCGAGGAGGCGGCTCTCTTCCATCGTCGAGCAGGCTTGCTTGCACAGCAGTCCCCGCCCTCCCCGCCTGTCAGCCGCCGCCTGTTCCAGCAGCGTCGGCCCCAAGAGCGTGCAAGTCAATCCTCGCCTCGCCACGCCGCGCCGCGACCCGCACCCACCACGCGACCCCCTCCGTGCAAGCGGACTGGGGAGGCCCAAAGGTACCGATTCCACTGCTCCCCGGACCCCTGCCCGGGTGCGCTCAGACCAGGACTCCGAGGCGAATCCAGCGGTGGCAACGAGGGCCTCCCAGGAGGCCCAAGAAGGGAGAAATCTGGCGAAGGGGAGGCGGTATGGGTATCTTCTCCTCTGATACGAGAAGCAACAATAGGACCCCGAAACCTTTGGGAGGGGGCCTCAGTCAGGAGGGCCAAAAACACCAGAGATACGGGGGGTCTTTTCTGCAGACGTCTCGAACCAAACCGCCCAGATCATGCGAAGACGGGGACCCCAATGAGGCCACGTCTTCATCGTGCTATTACGGGCAAAAGTCCTTGTGTTCTCGATGATGATAAGAAACCGTTTTTTTAAATCGGTGATCACCCGGGTTATCCTGGGGGGGGAGGAGGTGGCTGGCCGATAACCTAACCCTTGCGCTGTGGGCAGCCCTGCATATGCCCGCGCCCCCCCTCCCGCGGACCTGCATAACCAGCAAGGTTAGGTCATCCTGGGGGAGGGAGGGGGGGGGCAAGCCCGATAACCCGGGTTATCGCCCGACCCTAACAAAAGAGTCTCGTATCGAACCAAACCGCCGAGATCTATTATCCCTAATGCGAAGACGGGGACCCCAGTGAGGCCACGTCCAGATCGTGTTATTACGGGCAAGGGTTTATTGTGCTCTCGATGTAGGAACAAGGAGATGCGACACCAACACCACCAGGGCGAGGAGACGCGAGGAGGCGACGAGCAAGAGGGGTCTCCCTGGTGGTGTGGCCCCCCCCCTCTCGCTCGAGGCATCCCCAGCCTCTAGCTCGGGGAGGCATCGCAGACCTCCTCGCTAGAGGTGGGCCCCCTGGTGGTGTTGGTGTCGCTCCTCCTCCCTCCGACGATGATGATAAGACTTGCCAGAACCCAGACAAACTGCCTCTAAAGAGGGGGTGGGCTTGCCGCCGCGCCCTCGCGGGGGTGCGGCTGCGGCGGCCACGCCGGCGGGCGCGGCCGCCGCGCCCTCGCGGAGGTGCGGCTGCGGCGGCAACCGTCGGCGGGCGCGGCCGCCGCGCACTGCGGGGAGCCGCGCCCTCCGCGAGGCCGCGCCGGCGTGGCCCCTTTGGGGCTCGCGGCGGCGGCGTTCGGGAGCGCTGCCTGCGCATCCGAGGCTCAGGCAGGGCTCGACCTAGACTGTGGTTTGCGTCTTCGCTGATGGGCCAAGTTTCCACGACAGCCACCATAGGCAGGACGGGGGAGAAGGGAGGATGGGGAGATCCTCCTCTCCTCCTCCTCCTCCGCCACCTCCGCCACCTCCTCTTCCTCCTCCTCCTCCTCCTCCTCCTCCTCCTCCTCCTCCTCCCCCTCCCGACCATTGTAGTTGTAGCGGTGGTGCCTCCTCCAACCCGCCCCTTGCCGCGGCACGACGCCAAAACACGAGGACGACGGTCCGCGAGGCCGCCAGCACGCAGCCCACGGTCAGACCGAGCCCCGGGCTTCAGGCGGGGGCGCCGCGCGGGGGGCGCAGGAGCCCCGCGGCGGGCTCGGGGAGGTGGGGCAGCGGCGCCCAGCGCTGCTTGGCCAGCTCCTGGCGGTTAGTATTATTATTATCACCACTACTATTATTATCTCTATTCCACTTGTTACTAATATTACGAATGTAAATGTTATTACTATAAATATCGATATCATGTATTAGTACTGTTCGTTTAAGTATTTTGTTTCATATTATTACTGAGATCAGTAGTAGTATTAACCATGAGTATTCTTATGAATATTCTTATTATTATTCTCAGCGGCGCCCAGCGCTGCTTGGCCAGCTCCTGGCGGCCGTGCGCGCGCCGCGGCGTGCGGCCAAGGGCCCGGATGGACCCCTCGAGGGCCTCGACGGCTCGAGGCCTCGGGGCTCGAGGGCTCAACAAAAATCGAGGGCTCGAGGGCTCCAAATCGGGGGCTCGAGGGCTCAAAAATCGGGGGCTCGAGGGCTCAAACGTCGAGGGCTCGAGGGCTCAAACCTCGAGGGCTCGAGGCCTCGAGGGCGCTCTCGGCGCGGGCCCCTCGGGCGGAGCGGCCGCCGCGGGGTCTCGAGCGGGCGGGAGCGGGCCCCACGGGAGGCAGGCTCGGCGGCCCGCGTACCAAGGGCTCCCAACTTCGCGCTTCGCGCTCCGCGAAGCGCGAAGCGCGAATAACTTCGCGCTCTCGCGCCGCCCCCCCAAAGGGAGAAAAGGAGGACGAGGAGGAGGGGGAGAAGGAACGAGGACCGCGAAGCGCGAAGCGCGAATAACTTCGCGCCCTCGAGGGAGCCCTTGCGAAACGTGTCCCGAGCAGCTCCCGCTCCAAGTTGGAACCCAGGGAGCCGTCTGGGCCGTGAGAAGGATGGCCTGCAGGCCGTGCGGACCTCCGTGAACTCCCCGGCCCAGGGACGCCCCGATCATCACCCGGATTGAGCCAGGCCAAGCCAGATGACCCAAGAGCTGACCCCGGTCATAGGATAGGCAGAGGCAAACACACGAGAGAATGCGGGAGTCGGCCGACTCAGGCCAGACTTCGACTAAGGACAGAGCCGATGCTCAATTGAGCCTTGCGGGAGCGATAGCCGAGAAGCTGAGGCAAACAGACGGGAGAATGCGGAGGTCGGCGGACTTAGGTCAGACTTCGACTGAGGATGGAGCCGATGCTAAATGCAGCCTTGCAGGAGGTGCAATCAAAACAAGGGTGCGGGGGCGAGGGGGTCGACTTCTGAGAGGGCACGGGGGCCAGACTACCTCGCTGGTTCTCGCCGAGAAACAATGCGCACGTCCGAACGATGCCAATCACCCTGCCCCCTGGTCAGCGCGCTGCCGCTGCCGGGGGGAGGTCGGACAGCCTCCTGGGCGCAAAGAACCCAGCCCCGCGCGCGGCCTCGCAGCCCGGGCCGCGACCCCCCCGCGGACACGGGGCGCTGCTTTGGGCGGACGCCCCGCGGAGAACGCAGCTGTGCGGCCGCGTCTCCGCGGGGTCGCGCTCCGGGCAGCCTGGCCACCAGGGGCGCGGAGGATACGGACGTGCTCGCCGCTCGCGCCATATCTCCCTGCAAATCAGGCGTCGCGAAACGGAGCAGCAGCGTAGCAGGAACCACAGCCAGGACACCCGACTTCTTCCTGCAAGAGTCGGCGACTCCGAGACGCGTGTGGTTATCAAAGGGTGCGGCTAGCAAAGGTCGGGCGAGGAGGAGGAGGAGCAGGAGGAGGAGGCGAAGGAGAGAGCGGGCAGCGTGGTAGCCAAACATGCGTGCCCAGGGGTGCGATCGAGAACGACCGAAGCGCAAGGATAAAGTAGTGCACGGGGAGGGGATGAGAATAAAGGGATGGAGGCGAAGAACGGAGGGGAGGAAAGGGGAGCGAAGGAGGGAGACATGCTGCTAATACAGTGCACGTACCCAGAAGAACAACCACAGACGCTAAGGGACCACACTGGAACCAAAACAGATCGAATGCTAAAGAAAGCGAGAAGGGAAGCGGAGGAGGAGTAAGAGCAATGGGAAAGAGGAGGGGAAGGGGGGAGGGGGCGACTGCCCGCGTCTGGCCATTCCAAGCGGATGCGGTACAATTATGAGCCCTTTGTCCGCTCCATGCCCGCACATGCTGATTCGCTATCGGCCACGCGGCCGGGCCAGCAAACGGTCCTCAAGGGGTTCAAAACCGATGGGCTGGCATCCCCCAAATCTCGGCAGCGCACTGCTGCGACTATGCGTCGTCCGGCCCACATGGATAAGTGGCACGGAGCTTAAACGGAGGAGGAGGGGGGCAGGGGAGGGAGGGAGGCGGAAGAAAGAGAAGGGGAGGGGTGAAAGGGCGGTCGCCCGCGTCAGGGCACTTCAAGCGAATGCGGTACAATTTCAAACTATGTTCCACTCCATGCCAGCCCATGCTGATTCGCTGAAAGCCACACGGCCGGGCCAGCAACCGGCCCTCAAGGGGTTCAAATCCGAACGGCTGGCATCCCCAAAACATTCGGCCGCCGCCGCACTGCTGTTCAAAACCGAAAGGCTGGCATCCCCAAAATCTCGGCCGCCGCTACACTGCGGTAGCTATACGCCGTCAGGCTGGCCTGGGGAAAAGGAGACCTTACAGTGGAGGCCGTTCCACAAGAAGCCTTCCGCAGTATACCCAACCCTGAGACCCCAGGACGTCCACTGATTCTTGGTGTGGGAACGTCACGCTTTCCATAGCAAAAACATCGAAGCCCAAGAAATCCAGGGCACCCTGGATGCAAGCAGGGTGTTTCTTGGCATGGGCCCCCACTGTACTGCACATCGCGGCCTCCCGAGCGCGAGCGCGAGGAAAGAAAGCGCCCTGGGATGGCCCAGGGCGGCCTCCCTAGAGGCCTCCTTAGATGGGGTCGGAGTAGATGGGGTCGAAGGATGGCGCCGCGTCGCCGACGCATCGGCAATGCATCGGCGCCATCGGCGTGGGGAAACACGTGCTCCGCATCGCGCCGCATCGGCGATGCATCGGCGATGCGGCGCGATCCTCTGACCCCATCGCCTCGGACCCCACCTAAGGAGGCCTAGACTCCCTCACGAGAGCCGCGCATGCCTCCCGCCATCCGGAGCGGAGCCAGTCCCCGTGGCGCGCACGGCCGTGCTCGCGGCACAGCGCGAGGACGGCAGAAGGCGCGCCACGCCGTGCGAGCTGCCCGCGCCTCCGCCGCCGGGGAGCACCGTCGGAGGAGCCGCGACAGGGAAGGGGCCAGCCCCAACCGAGCCTCCCGGCACCGAGGCCGTGGAGGCGTGCGGAGGCCAAGGTGGCGCCGGCACAGCTGGTGGAAGCACCGGCAGCCAGCGTAGTGCTCGATGCTGTCGTGTGCTGCATCCGCGGGGGTGCCCTCGTCTCTCCCGCCGCGGCCCTCTCCGCGTCGCATGCGCGTCAACCTACGTCGAAGGCGATGGAAAGCCGCCCCGTCAGGACGAGCACGTAGAAGTGTGGTCGCTCTGGCATTCCAGTCCACCCGGTCTAGCCCAAATGCAGAGGGGAGGTAGAGGGAGGGCGAGCGGGGGAAGCGTTCGCACTCGGCCTTGGGCGCCGTCTCAGCGTATGCCAATTTGAACAGGACAAGGTTCTCCAGCCAGGCTCTCCAAGCCTTGGCAAGCGGCCGACCCGCTGCTGCAGCTACTGCCTGTTGGAGCCGGGCGGTCCGCCCTTGGACCTGGAGCCCAGCTCATTCCACAGCGGAAGCCGTGCGGCCTTGAGGCGACGGCGCTCTGGCATGACCGTGGGGAGCTCCTCCAAGCAGTGGGCGACCGCCGACGAGAAGGCAGTTGCTGCGGTGATTGCGTAGGTCTTGTCGTCAGATGACTAGCTCACTCTGGCTGAAAGGCCACATGAAAGCGACGCTGTGCGGCCCCGGGCGGTCATGATGGAGGCCGAAGGATCAGGCAGGACCTTCGAGAAGAGCCAACCCTAGTCGGCGCCAGGGATCTGAATCCTCTGAATCATAGGCCAAGCGCGTCGAGATGCTCTTGACATCAATCCAAGTGCCCAGGTACCGGATCGCTACACACGGGCAACGTGGTGGCCCACCAGACCCCAACAGCGCAGATCGCAAACCACACACTCGCGCTCCGACGAGGTGATCTGAGCCTGGCCGGCGCAAAACGCATCAGGACGCTCCAGAAGGGAGGAGAGAGGAAGGTGGGGAGGGACGGGGGAGGAGGAGGAGGAGGAAGAGGGGAATGGGTGATGACGAATTGAGGAGAGATGCAGGTTTGAGAGATGCAGAGGAGGAGAGAGGAAGAGGGGAATGGGGAATTGCACCAAGGCCCATACAAATGTAAGGGATTGTAACTAGGACTCCTAAGAAACCCTCTGTACCAAAACGGCTCAAGAGTGCCTCAAGGAGGCCCAGTCCCAAGAAAAGCCGGAATGCACCGAAACGACCCTACGACGGTACCAAGACAGCCCAGCGAGGCCACTCCCCAGAGTTTCCCCCCAGGGGGGTGCCTCTACGGCTAGGGGAGCACGCGGTCAGCCAGCGAGGCCGCACGTTCACTCCTCACGCTCACCTGAAGGGGCAGGAGGCGGCGGCGATAATACAAGATGTGGAAGATGAGGCCGAGATGGGCATGACGAGAAGAGGAGGAACGAGGACAACTGGGAAGGAGGAGAGAGCCCCATCAGTGGAGAGCTGAAACTTGCTAGCACAAAGCGCATTGCTGGCAAATCTACACAGCCCAACATATTCACAACAACAGAAAGATACCACAATACACGCCCGCGCGAGGTCCTGCCCACCGATGACTCCGTCAAGGTTGCGCTCTATCCGGTCAAAGACGAACTGAGGCCTCATGCCGTCAAGATGCAAGAAACAAAATCAAGAAGCCTAACCTCAGGAAGGCATTAATAACCCCCCCTGGGTTATTCTTAGCACCCGGTTTTCTCAATATTCCAGGCGGGCAGTTTTAGCCGAACGATACACTTAGCACCCGCCGCACACAGACAACAAAATCCACCATCGGCGGCCGCCCCACTAACGCCAAGAGAGGGTGTCGTGACGAATGTCAAGGATCTAGCCCAGATCTTTGTGCACCTTTATCCCTGGCACGTCTTGCAAAGCCTTGCTAAACTCTGCCAAGCACTGCTAAGCCCTGCTACGCCCAGCTAAGGGTGCGGCCATAACGCTCCAGGGTGCGGGGGCGTTATGATCCACCGGAAAAGGGGGGGGGGGTTCTTAATGCCTTCCTGAGGTTAAGCAAACGAAACAAACAAGACGAGGAAGAAACACCGACACCGAGGACGCCCCTCCGCGCTGGAGCAAAGTTGCGCGAGACGAAATGACAGCTGGCTGAGAGCGAAGATCTGCAGAAACCGTCACTAAATCTCCCGGGGTCCGCCCGGACCCCCAACTCTCGCGGCGGATCCAGCCGTGGCGACGAGAAGCCCCCGGGAGGGGCCAGAACCAAAATGCAGAGCGCCGATCGGGAGGGCCGCCGATGCGGGGGCGCTCGCGAACACTGGACCAGGAGGAGGAGGAGGAGGAGGAGGAGGAGGAGGAGGAGGAGGAGGAGGAGGAGGAGGAGGGATCGGGGGCCGCAGCCCCCGGAACCTGGCGCCGACGGCCACCTCGCCCGGCGACGGAGCGCGCCGCCTGCTGCGCGGAGGCGGCACGCGGCGCTCGTGCGCACGCCGTGTGCAGCGCGGACGCGGCACGAGGCCCTGGCAGGAAACCCAGCCCTCGAAGCCCGCCCTGTAGGAAGGCACCAACTATACACCAACACCGATCCTGGCCAGGATCACCCTGGGCTCAGGATCGGTGTATACGCCCTCCTGCCTTGCGCAAGAAGGCATATACACCGATCCTGGGCCCAGGGTGATCCTGGGCCAGGATCGGTGTTGGTGTATAGTTGGTGCCCTCGAAGCCCGCCCTGGGGAATGCGAGTGAAGCCAGTGGGAAGGCCAGAAAAAGCACCCCGACGGAAGCAGCTGCCTCAAGGAGACCGCGAGGGGAGCCACCGTGCAGAGCGCGGGGCGAAGAAACCCGAATTTCCCCGGACGAAGGGCATATCTATACAAACAATGTTTCTTGCTGCGCGTCCCCATTCCGATTCATCTAGGGCTCCCAACTTCGCGCTTCGCGCTGCGCGAAGCGCGAAGCGCGAATAACTTCGCGCTCTCGCGCCGCCCTCCCAAAGGGAGAATAGGAGGACGAGGAGGAGGGGGAGAAGGAACGAGGACCGCGAAGCGCGAATAACTTCGCGCCCTCGAGGGAGCCCTTGTTCATGCTCGCGTCTCTGGAGATAGGACGCCTTGATCCACGTCCCAGACCCCGGGCGTCGCGTCTTTCCCGCAACGTGGTCCCCCAAAAGGCCTGGACCCCTTCTTCGCTAGGGCTCCCAACTTCGCGCTTCGCGCTGCGCGAAGCGCGAAGCGCGAATAACTTCGCGCTCTCGCGCCGCCCTCCCAAAGGAAGAATAGGAGGACGAGGAGGAGGGGGAGAAGGAACGAGGACCGCGAAGCGCGAAGCGCGAATAACTTCGCGCCCTCGAGGGAGCCCTTGTTCTTCGACGGTTTCAGGGCCTGGCGAGGACCCCCGGAGGCCAACACTGGCAAAAGAGCTTCCGTCGTACCTTTCTTCGCGACGCGAGGGGGTTTGGGCCGGGGGTCGAACATCGCCCCCTAAACCTCTGTTCGGGTGCGCTCTGGCCAGCACTTCGGAGGCGCATCCAGCCGTGACGACGACACGCCGCCCCAAAGACCTCAGTTCCAAGATCCTCAAAGTTCGAATCCCCTCGAAACCTAAAAAAAACAAAAAACAACAACAAGCTCTCGTCGGACTCTTGTTCACGACACGACGGAGTCTGGAATCTGGGCGTCCGCGACATGGCTTCGACCGCCTCGAAGACCAGGTCGCCGTGGTCGTGGTCGTAGTCGTCGTCGTGGTCGTGGTCGTCGTGGTGGTCGTGGTCGTGGTCGTCGTTGTGGTCGTGGTCGTGGTCGTCGTCGTGGTCGTGGTCAATGTCGTGGTCGTCGGCGTCGTCGATATTGCCGTCGTCGATCGAGGTTTGCGGATCGAACTTCGAGTGCTTGCGCTTCCGCGAATTTGCCCCGACCGCCTCCGAGATCAAAGGCGCCGCGCATTCCCCACCCCCAGGGCGGGGCCGCGGGCCCCCATGATTTGCCACCGCATCAAGGAATCACCTCGACCGTCTCCGGGATCAGAGGCGCCGGGCGTCCCCCCACGCGCGCGCGCGGGGGACGGGCTGCGCGGACCACGCAGCGGCGCCGTTCTGCTCGAGGGAGCCCGAGGGCAGGGCCGAGCTGGCGCCGCCGAGGAGGCCTCGGGCAGTACGCTTAAATCGAGCATGTCCTCCTACAGGCGGAGCTTGGAAGACAAATTAAACATATCCAAAAATCACTCAAAAATAGTCAAGGATAGTCGAAAGATCGTCACTAGTCTATCATTTGATAATTTCTGCGTTTTCCTCAAGTAGAGGGACATGTCCGACTTAACAGAGCGCCGATTGCACGCCGAAGAGGGGGGGAGGAGGAACCAGGACCCCGTCGCGACATGACAACTCCAAACTTCGAGCTTCGAGGAGCGAGGCTCCTCGGACCTCGTGGGAAGGCGTCACGTCGCCAAGGCTGGATTCGCCTCCGAATTCTTGCAAGATCGCACCCCAGAGGAAGTCTGGGGGTCGACTTCCAGCCCCTGGACCTAAACCCCCTCGGTTCGTGGAAAACATCAACAATAATTTTACCCTCATGCGCGATGTCTCCACACGAAGCATACGACCATCATAAAAACCATCCACGTAATGGGGGACTCTTGTTCTATAGCGGGATCCGTTTTTCCCACTCCCAAATCTCCCGCCCAATGAGGTCTTGCAAACACCTCCTCCGAAGAAGTTCAACATATCCCGCCTCGGAAACACATGCCCACGCCTTGCTGCGCCGATGCGAGACCGCCAGTGGAACCCGAGCGAAGGGTAAAGCACAAGGAAATATCAACCGACAGGATTGCCTTGGTGGGGATGGGGGCCGTCTGCGGTGAGGCAAGGACCTGGCCCTGAATAGAAAGGGAGGAAGTCTCGACCAGGGCTGCTGTTGTTGGGAGCGGCGCCAATGCTGAAGAAAGTAGGGCGCTAGTCCAGCGTAAAACAAAACGAAATCTCGAGCGGGAACGCTGGTTTTGTTGGGACGGCGGCTTTCGGCGGCGAGGAGGAACACCGCCTTGAGTAAGAAAAAAAAAGCATCGAGCGGGAGCCGTGGTTTTGTCGGGACGGGGGCTGTCGGCGGCGAGGAACAGCACCGTCCCGAGGAAAAAGAAAGGAAATCTCGAGCGGGAGTATTGTTCTTGCTGGGAGCGGCGCCAATTCAAAAAAAAATAGGGCGCCAGTCCAGCGTAAACCGGAAGGAAGTCTCGGGCGGCAGCGCTGGTTTTGTCGGGTCGGCGGTTTTCGGCGGCGAGGAGGAACACCGCCTTGCGTAAGAAGGGAAGAAACATCGAGCGGGAACCGTGGCTTTGTCGGGACAGGGGTTGTCGGCGGCGAGGAACAGCGCCATGTCCAGAACAAAGTGAGGAAGCCTCAAGCGGGAACGTTGTTCTTGCTGGAAGCGGCGCCAATTCAAGAAAGATTTGGGCGCCAGTCCAGCGTATAACGAAAGGAAGACTCGGGCGGGAGCGCTAGTTTTGCCGGGGCGGCGGTTTTCGGCGGCGAGGGGGAGCACCGCCTTGAGTAAAAAAGGAAGCCTCGAGCGGGAGCGTTGTTTTTGCTGGGGGCGGCGCCGATGAGAGAAAGACTAGCGCGCCAGTCCAAGGTAAAACGGGAGGAAGTCTCGAGCGGGAGCGCTGGTTGTGTTGAGACGGTGGCTTTCGGCGGCGAGCAAGAGCACCAGCCCTGAGCAAAAAAAGAGGAAGTCTCGAGCGGGAGCGTTGCTGTTGTTGGGGGGCCGGTTTTGGTGGTCCCCCAAGCCGCTCGAACGTGAGCCTCATTTCCAATGAAAATGTAGCCGGCGCCTCGGCAAGAGCGCCAGAGCGCCTTTAAGGTGTCCAGCAATAATAATTGGTTAGCAGTTAACCTTCAACAACAACAGCAACAACAACAAACAGACAGGGAATATTTGAACAGTTCTGGCTTTGGGGGGCCCTCGCCGGGCCCCAGGGCGGTCAAAAAACGGTTCGGGATGAACGACTGGTCCCTGAGAAGGGGGCCAGACCTCTGGGGGGCCACGTTGCAAAAAAAAACACGACGACGAGGGTATGGGGACAGGGGGGGTAGCATTATGTCGGGCAAGTCCTCCTACAGGCGAAATATACAAGAGAAACTTAAAATAGTCCACATAACAACACAAAATAGCCAAACAAACACAGAACAATCGTCCTCAGATTATTCCTATTTTTGAATAGTCCTCCTGTAGAGGGACATACATGCCCGACTTAAGGTTAGCGGGTCTTGGCCTGAAGCACGTGCGCGGGCGAGGGAAGGAGGCGGGGGGCAGGCAACTCTTGCGAATGGACGCTAGTCGACGCTAAATCGACGCTCGTCGGCGCTACATCGACGCGAATCGACGCTGAACCGACGCTATATCGGCGCTAGCTCATCGACGCCCAGACGCTAATCGACGCTAGCCGGCGCTGGATACCGAATTAGGAGGGCACGCAAGGCTCCCATGACTTGCTATCCAGCCAATGCTTACCCCCTGCTTCGACGCCGCCGACCAGAGCGCGGGCATGCTCAAAGCAGTGGAAACGAAGCGCACCACACCTAGCACCAGCTGGCTGGTGGAGACACCGCTCATTGTTCATTCTGGACTCCCAGGGGGGGGTTGGGGACCTGGGACATTGGGTGAGCCTTCATGAGAACCTCTACGGACCTCCACCGTCTAATCAAAAGAGTAATGTCGACTGGGTTTCGTGCAAATTTCGACCACCCCTCTTCACCCTGTCGTCAAGGTTTCGTTCAAGTTTCGTCCAGATGCTACCAGACCCAAAAGGATCGAAACAAACCTTCAAAACTGCAAGGAATTCTGGACCCACCCAAAGCTCCAATGAAGTACCACACAAGGGACCACCAGACATGGAGCCAGGACGAGCGCTCGCCCGATTGGGAAGATGTCGGGACATCTGGTCGGGAGCTCTGGGGCCCGCGGAAGGGGAAAACGCATCGACGGATGTCTGGGGAGGGAAACCGTGACACCAGAGGCAGCCTAGAAGGTGTCGGAGTAGATGTGGTCGAAGGATCGCGCCGTATCGCTGATGCGTCGGCAATGCGTCGCCGATGCGTCGTCGATGCGTCGCCGATCCGCCGGCAACGTCGGCGACCCGTCGGCGTGGAGCAAATCTGGCTCCACATCGAGCCGCATCGGCGATGCATCGGCGATGCTAACCAGCCTCGAACGTATCCCTATCCCTAAGATGGGAGAGCAGAAAGCGAGGACAATCTTAGGGATAGATAGGCCCTCAGAAACTGAGGGAATCCTTAAGATCGGCATCGAGGTGAGGTGACGTCAAACATAGGGATAGGGATATGTTGCAAACTGGTAAGATGCGTCACGATCCTCCGCCCCCACCTGCTCGCCACCTGAGACCGACGGACGGACGGACGCTCACATACGCGCCGGAGCGCGGTCCCTCCAGAATCGGAGCGGTACCAGCGCCGTGTTGCCGAGCATTCGACATGGAACTGGGAGACTCGCTAGCACTGCCGTCTAGAAACACCACCACGACCACCTGGAGGGCGGAGACAGCGGGGGTTCAGGGGTAACGGTGGTGTATGCCTTTTCGGCATGCCGCTCGCGGGACATCCGGTAAGCCTGCCCCGCAAATCCGCCCATCTGGGCAACCGAATGATCCGGGATACGCCTGATCTGGGTTGGGCCCTGTTCGGCGCCATCGACGCACGGACTTGGGAAGCCCTGTGACCATGATCCGGGACAAGGGGAGAGCGCCATCCAGGGGGAACAAACATTTACACAAACGAGAGGCGAAAAACAACGTTTATCCCTGACCACGCTCTTCCCCAATCACTCGGAGCTGTGAGAAGCAGTGATGGTGTCGCGCCTCCTGCAACGTCGAAGCAAACTCATCGCAGGTTCGTGTTGAGACGACCCCAGCGTTGGTTCTTGATACCGCGCGATCTTCCAACGTTGATACTGCATCTTGACCGGTGCTGGGCCCCTGATGCCGTTCAGTCTTGGACGCCCAGGGCTGCCGCGTCGGCACGACACGAGCCTGCTGTGCGCACAGCGCACGCGCGCGCACTTCTCAACTCGGAGGCCCAGCGCGCTGCGGCACGGGCGGTGCAGAGTACAGCGGGCCGCGCAGCGCACGATCAAACCACATCTGGCACGGCAGCCGCGCGCGTGCGCGCGGCGCCGCACGCGCACGCACTAACCCCTCTCACACACACACACACACACACACGCACAAACACACACGATTCCCGCGGCGTCTTTCCTCGGGCAGCGCACCCGCGCACACATGTAGCCGACAGTGGAGCCACAGGTTCCAGGCGGCGCAAGCGAGATCGAAGAGACCGACCAAGTATCACCCACACTGACACACACACGCACCACTTCCGCAAAGAACACGCTGTCACAGCAGGGCAGAAAGAGTGCTCAGACTCATTCGCACACCTCAATGCAATCCACGCTGTGTCACTGTGACGTAGCAAAGACTGCCAGCAGCGCGGAGGGCGAGGGGGAATACGCATCCGTGGAGAGACATAAGCACACGAATGTGGTCGGCCACGCACGCAACAGTGTACACACGCACTCAGGAGGAGTCAGGAGAGGGGCAGAATGGGGGCAGGGCGTAGGGGAAGGAGGGGAGGAGGACAGGTAAGAAGGGTAGGAGCGGAGCGGGAGGCGCCAGGAGACAGGGCAGCCTGGGGAGGCGACAACGACGTGGACGACAGTGATGACGTCGACGGCGACGGCGTCGACGACCGCTGCCGACGGCCGTCGACGACGACGACGGCGGCGACGGACAGCAGAGCCTGCCGAGGCCGCAGTCCGAAGCTGGGCGAGCTGGCGAGCCGCGGCCGCGAAGGGCGCCTGTCGTCTTCGTCGTCGTCGAATCGGGTTGTCGTCGTCGTCGTCGTTGCCGTCGGCACCGCCGCCGGCTGCGCTGGGCGTCCTCGACGTCGTCGTCGTCGTCGCCAGCGCCGCTGCTTGCCGTCGGCGCTGGCGTCAGTCATCGCCGCCCTGGGCACGGGTGGCCTCTGGGCGAGCGGCTTTGCAGGGGCCGCGGGGGTGCCGGATCCACGAGCCCAGGCCCCCAAAGACGTCCAAGGATGCGATCTTTCCATCCCGCAGGGCCCTTCGACCTCTCTGCCCTGAGGAGCAATTTGTCCTCCGAGATCCCGGCTTGTCTGGGCCTGGGCCCCCACCGCGGGCCACTCTGCCGAGGGGCCACCTCTCACGCGCAGCCGAGGTTGAGCAGGGACCGACCGTCCCGGCATCCCGAAGGGCCTGCCAAGACATGTTCTCAGAGCCAAACCACGTTCGAAAGACAAAACCATGTTCTCAGAACGCAAGCCCGACGTGTCAAAACAAAGCAGTCTCGGCCAAGCATGTTCAAAGAACATTGCGTAAAAACCACAAACGGTGCCTATAGGCAAACCGGGACGCTTCGCCGCTGATTGACCAATTCAGGACCTCGGACATCCGACGATGCGATCTTTGCTCGGGGATGGACAGAACCCCCTTTAGCAAAACGTGGTTTAGTGAAAACGACATCGGGCCCAAATCTGGCGGGCGAAAGCCTGGAAACTGACGGCCACGGCGCCCTCTCGAGAACCGAAATCGGACAATTCACTAATCGACGTGTCACTATTGGGGGTTCTGTCCAGCCCCGATTTGCAGTGCACCAGACCGACCCCTTCCCTGGGGGTAGCTTGTGGCACCAGATCCGGGTTGGACTGTCCCTGGGCCCGAAGGGCGGGCCCAGTACAGAGGCTGAGAATCGACACTGAGAGCCGAAGTCAACGAGAATACGACATCGCAGAAAATCACGACTCCCTCCCTCCCTCCCTCCCCTTCCTCCCTCCACTCCTTCCCACCCGCCATTTCGCGCGTTCATCCTCCCTCTCCTCCCCATTTTCTGTTGTCTGCCTGACTTTGGATCTGCGCCCCATCGATCTCATATTTTTCGAGCCGCACTGATCCGCAAGGGTCCTGGGGTCCGAGCCATGTAGGGCGAAATCGCTCTCACAGAAGACCTAGGAGAACAGCCCGGGTGGAAGACATCATATCTGAGGGGCAACGTTCTGGGAAGACGACCTCCGCGGGGAAACATGGACCTGGAATCGACGACACATCAGGCCACAGACATCGAAACCGTTCGTTGCTGGGGGGGCGGGCTATCGAGACCCTATCGGCGATGCATGGGCACTTGGGGGGTGATGTGATCCCCCCCGGGCCGCTCCCCCGATGACGTGGCCCCTCCAATTGCGGATCATCGCTCAGCTCACTGGCGGCCGTGCGGGGCGATCCGAGCACCCCTGTAATAGGAACAAGGAAAGGCGACACCAACACCAACAGAGCGAGGAGATGTGCGGAGGCAAAGGGGAACTCCCTGGTGGTGTGGTCCACCCCTCTTGCTCGAGACATCCCCAGCCTCCAGCTCGGAGAGGCATTCGTGGACCTCCTCGCTGGCGGTGGCCCCCCTGGTGGTGCTGGTATCGCTCCTCCGCCCTCCGACCGTAACGTCCCCGGTGAGGCGCAGCCGCCGAAGGAAACCGGAGGCTTGAAGAGATCAGAGGCGTGCAAGAGCACGTCCGAAAGCCACTTGGCTCGAACAAAGAAAAACGTCTCCCCCCAGAGACCATGGCCCCAAAAAACTGCCTCTGGGATCCGTCACGCGTCCCGTGCGGCCTGGGGCACCAAGGTCTCAAGGAAGATCCAGGAAGCTAATGACGCTAATCGCTAATCGCTAAGACGTCCGAAGATAGACGAGCGCGTTCCACCACTCGCAAAACGACTACTCGTACAGGGCTTGGACCCGCCGCGGAGGATCTGCGATAAGAGGCATCGAAGCAGACATGTGTTTTATCTGATACTTGCAAGAAGGCACTCTGCGAGCAGTGGAACGCGCTCGGTGAGAAGACCTGGAACTTTTTAAGCGCCTCTCTGCCCTGCCCCCGTGCCTTGAGCAGGGACCGACCGTCCCGGCATTCCTATAGTCGTACCACGAAGTGTTCTTAGAACCCCAAAGATGTTCTAAGACAAACAGCAAGGTTCTCATAACATAAGCCCGGTGTGTTAAACCAAGACAGCCCCAACCAGAGATGCTCTAAGAACATGTCGTGGGAACCACAAAAAGGTTCTCAGAACATTGTCTGGCAGGACTATAGGCACGCCAGGACGCTTCGCCACTGCTTGACCGGGCGCGTGGCTGCGCGGCGGCCTCGTGCACCTCGCCCTCCCACCGCCCGCCGCCCGCGCCGGCGGGCGCCGGGAGCGCGGGCGGCGGCCCCCCGCCGCGGGCGCCGCCGGGGCTGCCGGCCGCGCCTGGGGGGCCCGCGGCCCGCGGCGGCCCGCCGCGCGGCCCCCCCAGGGGGGCGACGACCACAAGCGGCCCTTGCGCGAGAGGGCGCGGCGGCCGTGCTGGAAGAAGAAGGGACGCCATAAACAGAATGAGAAAGCCCTTCGAAGCCCTTCGGAGAAGAAAGGAGCCATAAGCATGTTTACGCGAGAGCCCTTCGAAGAAGAAAGGACGCCCCAGAAATAAGAAACGTGTGGCGCTCCGCGCGGAAGTCTTGGATCTGCGCTGGACCCTCCCTGGCGCGCTTCGCGAGCGGGGGGGGGGGAGGCCAAGCGCTGATCCAAGAAATCCGCGCGAGCGCCCACGGCCCCCAGGGGGCCCCGAGCTAGGCGACGAACACAAAGCAGGCCCTTGCGCGAGAGGGCACGGCGACCTTGCGACGGCTTACAGTCTTCCTCATCCTCTCTCTTTCCTCCTCCTCCTCCTCCTCCTCCTCCTCCTCCTCCTCCTCCTCCCCCTCCTCCTCCTTTTTTTTCCTCCTCCTCCTCCTCCTGCTCCTCCTCCTCCCTCTCCTCCTCATCTCTTTATCCTCCTCCTCCTTCTCCTCCCTCTTCCTCCTCCTCCTCCTCCTCCTCCTCCTCCTCCTCCTCCCGCCCCTGGAAGACGGCGTCCCCGTCCAGCTCTTCCACACGAGGATGCGCGGAAGGAATGCAAGGGCCTTGGAGGGCCACAGGAGCGTTTTTCGAACGAGGTTGGCCTGCGGAAGTCGCTAAGGAGGGGCCGAAGGGGCAAAGATGCCCATCATTACCATCCTTACCATGCGGGTTAACTGCACGCGAGAACACACGGCGACCTTACGCGGCGGCTTACGCGGGCCGCCGGCGCGGCACGCCAGTGGAAACGAGTGGCGCTCACGCGCGACTGACAGTCAGCCGTGTAGTAAGGATCGATGCGCGAAAAGGATGCGCGGGCCTTGGAAACCCGTTTCGACAAATTCGAGCGGGGCGCGGACAGCGAAAGCGGCCAAGGACGGGCCGCAGGGGCAGGATGCAAAGGTAACCTTTGAAAGGTTGCTCATCCTTACCGTGCGGGTTGACTGCACGCGAGAGGGCACAACAACCTTACGCGGTGGCCGCAGAACACCAAAAGGACATGCGGGTTGCACAGGTCGGGACAGACAGGACACAAAAGCACGCTTGATTTGGCATGGTCGACCTACCAATCAGGGCCGACTGTAGAGGGAGGGGGGAAGGCGTCTTAAAAGGAGGCTGCTTCTTGGGAGGCGCTGGCCTTACATCTATTGACGAGGCCCGCGCCTTCTAAGGAGCAGCCTCCTTATCAGAAGCATTCCCCCCTCCTCGGCCAGCGCCCCCGAAGAACCAGCCTCCTTCTAAGAAGCCTTCCCCCCCCCCCCTCCTCCTCCTCCTCCTCCTCGTCGTCCTCCTCCTCCTCCTCCTCCTCCTCCTCCTCCTCCTCCTCCTCGTCCTCCTCGACCTCCTCGTCCTTCTCGTCCTCCTCGTCCTCCTCGTCCTCCTCGCCCTTCGAAGAAGAAAGGACGCCCCAGACATAAGAAACTGTTTGCGCTCCGCGCGGATGTCTTGGATCTGCGCTGGACCCTCCCTGGCGCGCTTCGCGAGCCAGGGGCGGCACCGGAGGCGCCGCGGGGGGGGGGCCCAAGCGCTGATCCAAGAAATCCGCGCGGAGCGCCCACGGCCCCCAGAGGGCCCCCAGCTGGGCGACGACCACAAAGCGGGCCTTTGCGCGAGAGGGCACGGCGACCTTGCGACGGCTTACTGTCTTCCTCCTCCTCCCTCCTCCTCTTCCTCCTCCTCCTCCTCCTCGTCCTCCTCCTCCTCCTCCTCCTCCTCCTCCTGCGCGTGGCCGACTCATCGTGCCGTGGAGCAGATCGAACTTCGAACACCGACCTTTCAGATGATGTTTCATTGATGGGAGCGCAAGATGGCTTGCTTCACAGATGTCCTTGTCAGAGTCGTCATGGCGTTCGCGCTAGAGAGCTGACGTGCCGTGGCCACCTTCCTGGGCGTCCTGGAATGCAGGGCCACAAGATGACGCGGAATGTGTGGCCCCACATTCCGCATCAGCGCTTCCGCCGCCGACAGCATGCGCCCAGCGAGCTTCTCTCCTGAGGCTGTGAGAAGCAGACCAAGCGGCATAAACATACACTTTTGGCGCTCCGCGCGGGTTTCTTGGCTCCGCGCCAGACCCCCCTCCCTGGCGCGCGGAGCGCGCCAGGGGCGGCGCCGGGTGCGCCGCTGGCGGAGGCCCATATTCCGGGTGCCGCTTCGTGCTCTTCTCCTGAGGCGGGCGAGCTGCGATGATCGAGACGTTTGGGGTGTCTGCGGGGCTTCTGGCTCGTGCGCACGGCGGGGCTCGCCTCGCAGTGTCGAGGAGCTGCGGATCCGGGGTCCTCGCAGACCTGGGAGGCGGAGGATGAGGAGGAGGAGGAGGAGGGCTCCTGCCGGATCCTGCGCGGAGGAGGAGGAGGGCTCCTGCCGGATCCTGCGCGCTGCCCTTGGAGGAGGAGAAGGATGAGGAGGACGAGGAGGAGGAGGAAGAGGAGGAGGAGGAGGGGGAGGAGGAGGGCTCCTGCCAGATCCTGCGCGCTGACCCAGGTCAAGGCAGCCCTGGCTCTGCAGGATTCTGCAAGATCTGGCGCTCTGGCTGACCTCCGTTTGCATCGACCCCCGTCCCTTGCAGGGACACACACACACAAAGAAATAGACACAAATCCCAGGATCCCCCTAGTTTCCATATTTCCCTGGGGATCGACGATTATTTGTATCCGTGTGTGTTTTCTTCCCTTCTGCCGAAAGCTCTGGTCAGGACGCGCCCCAGAAATCCCAGGAGGGGCCCTGGAGGTCGCTTTTTGACCCGCCGTGGTCCGCCCCTGGGCTTCTGGCGTCGTATATTTTCCCGCGCTGGAACATGCTGATTTTGGGGACGCCACGACTGTACATACACAGACATCCTCCGACAAACGTTGTATATGCCGTCAGGGAGGGCGACGGTGCATAAAGTCGCCAGCCCTCAGTGGCAAGTCGTACACCGCCATCGTCCCCTGAGGCCCACGAACAATCCGCTGGATTCGGAGGCAACTCCTGGGAGGTCTTCGTCAGAACGATGAAAGGACATTAGGCCACAGAAAAAAAACGATGTAACAAGAAAAAGAAAGATCGGTCCTTGGAATCAGCTGGATTATAAACGGGAGTTCGCCGGACTGAGGATTTAAGCCAGATTTAGCGGGAGTCGACCAGATGTTGCCAGCTCCAGACCAGAGATATACCAACGCCGAGTCAGACTTTCACGTCCCAAGAAATGAATCCGTTGTTCGATTTCGGTCCGGCTCAATACATGCCAGATTGGGTTCAAAATCCCAACGATGAATTTCCACGATGTTGCACTATTTCCCGCAATGCCGCCACCTCCTAAGGACGTTGTTTGTTCCCAATCATCCTTTGGTGTTGGGTCCTCGTTTTGAAGAGGCAGCGCCCCGCGATCCTTCCTTCCTCCTCCACCTCCTCCCTCCTCCCATGCCTGCCTCTGCCCTCCGCACTCCGCACGTCCTTGTCATCATCATGATCATCACCATCATCACTGTCATCATTATCATCACCCCCGTCGTCAGCCTCATCCTCATTATCATCCTCATCCTCATCCACAACTTCCTCCTCCTCATCATCCTCATCCTCATCCTCAACCTCAACCTCATCCTCATCAGCATCAGCATCAGCATCAGCATCAGCATCAGCATCAGCATCAGCATCAGCATCAGCATCAGCATCATCATCAGCATCAGCATCAGCATCAGCATCAGCATCAGCATCGTCAGCATCAGCATCAGCATCAGCATCATCATCCTCATCCTCATCCTCCTCCTCCTCCTCCTCCTCATCCTCATCCTCATTATCATCCTCATCCTCAGCAACATCATCGGCACATCCGTGACGCGCTTCGTGGCCCCATGGGGAGCATGCACCCGCCAAAGTCGGCAATGCGCCCGCATGCGCCCGCCGCGCAAACCCCTCCCTCCCTTCGTGGCCCCACAGGAAGCTCCACCAGAGGCCTTAAAGGTTGCGCCCGTAGGCGCCAGCCGCATCCAGCTCGGCACACCCCTCACACGCTTCGTGGCGCCATGGGGAGCTCCACCGAACGCCCGCATGCGCCAGCCGCACCAATGTCGACACACCCCTCACACGCTTCTTGGCCCCATAGGGAGCTCCACCGAAGGCCCGAAAGGCTACGCTCGCATGCGTCCGCCGGCACACCCCTCAGACGTTTCGTGGCCCCCATAGGGAGCTCCACCGAATGCCCAAAAGGCAGCGCCCGCATGCGCCCGCCGAACTAATTTCGGCACACTCCTCAAACGCTTCGTGGCCCCATAGGGGGGCTCCACCGAAGGCCTTAGTGGTGACGCTCGAATGCGCCCGCCGCACCCTTGTCGGCACGCCCATCACGCGTTTCGCGGCCCCATAGAAAAGCCCACCGAAGGCTCAAAAGGAAGCGCCCGCATGCGCCCGATGCACCAAATCTGGCACACCTTTCACACGTTTCATGGCCACAGACGGAACTCCACCGAAGGCCCACAAGGCGAGTCCAGGGGTTGTGGGGGGGGGCTCCCATCGTCGCTTTCCTCTTCGGTTGCTTCTCCCTGGTATATGTTTGTTATCCTTCTTGTTATCATTCCTCAGTCTGTATCCAATCGTTATTCTTGTCTTGACCCCTCCACCACCTTCATAATTTTCTCCCTCATCCGTGCGCCCAAAAACGTAAATGCGAAGATCGAGCCCAGGGCGACACGCAGAAGAGAAACCAGGACGATGGATGTGGAAGAGGGATAGAGGAGGAGGAGGAGGATGAGGAGGAGGATGAGGAGGAGGAGGAGGAGGAAAAGGAAGCGAGGATATGAGGCATGATTTCTATAGCAGTTTTGGCTTAAGCAATCAGTGCGCTCTCAGACAACGACAGCGTTGTCGGCCAATCAAAAGCAAATTTCCCGCCAAAAGCGGCAATGGGCCGAAGCAGTGGCCGAGGGGAGAGAGTTCAAGCCGAAAGGCAAATGGCTCTTCGACCCCGAGAAGGAGGAGGAGGCCCTCCATAAGGCGAATAAGCAAAAGAAAGGGGAGGAGAAACACCAGCACTACGAGGGCGGCCACCACCAAAAGGAAGGAGAGAAAGAAAAGACGAAGGAGGCGACGGAGAAAAAATACGAACAGACAGGGAAGCAGCAGGGCGGGAAAGAGGACACCCGACAGAGCGCGAAGGCCCACCACTCTTGGGCGAAGCAGGGTTGGCGGCCCCTGTGCCGAGACTTCAAGAAAGGCTGGTGTTCCTACGGTGCGCGCTGCCGCTTCTACCACAGCGGCGCCGACGCGTCGGCGGGCAGCAGCACGGACAACGGGAACGGCAGCCGTCCTGCGTGCTTCCACTGCGAGGCTGGGTCCTGCTTGTACGGAGAGAAGTGTTGGTACAAGCACGAGGTGGACGACGCGGGCCCTGCGGCCAAGGACGGCGGGTCCGTCTACGAGGGCAGCGACATCCCTAAACCAGGGGATCTTCTTCAAGAGACGCCCGACGAAGCAGCTCTCTTGGCGTCGATCGCCAAGTGGGCGGTCGATACGGAGTGGGAGCTGCGGAAGACGAAGTCCAACAAGGAAGTATGGTTCTCCATCGATTCCCACGAGTCGCTCTGGAACAAACCCTCCGCGAACGAGAATGCGAAGCTCGTGGAGAAGAGGCGCGACATGCAGAAAGCCGCCCGCATTCGCGCCGCTGGCTTTGCAGCCAAAGCGGCCGCGGCGTTGGCGAAGTGGTGCGTGACCATGGACGAGCTGGACAAGGATTGGGTCTTAGAAGCCATACACACAAGGAGGATACTTGAAAGGAGGAGGAGGAGGAAGAGGAGGAGGAGGAGGGAGAACCTTGGAGAAGGAAGGAAGAAGGAGGAGAGGGGAGGAGGAAGGGTGGAGGAGGATGGAGAATGGCACCGCGCATTGTGTTATATATAAATATATTGATATAAAGATAGATAGGTAGATACATAGGTATATATACATATAGTTAGATATCTATATTCAGATATATAAATATATAGATATATAGAAAGCTTTATAGGTATAGGTAGATAGGTATATATATAGAGATCTATTTGTATCTATATTTCTGTAGAGATAGGTATGTCAATACATAGAAAGATATATATATATATATATATACATAGATATACATATATATACATATTCATATAGAGAGAGATATATATATATATATATATATATCGATCGATAGATCGAAAGATGGATAGATCTATAGTTAGCTCATAACTATATATGATCCCCAGGAGGCTGAGATGGCCGACCGCGCGGAGCGTAACAGGCGCCAGCGGTGCCAGCGCAGATTGGAGAGTATCTTGAGAGGCGAGCAGTAGAGACGCGGGCACGGATGAGCGGCCGCGCGGGATATAGTAAAAAACTGCCCTTTGTAATCCGCCACAAAAGAAATCCTGTTGTAAGCCTCCGCTACAAGAAATTCTTTTGCACTCGGCCACAGAATGAATCCTTTTGTAATCCATTACAAACGGAATCCCTGTAGGATGCCACAAGAGGAATTCTTTTGGAGTGCGCCACACTTGAGATCCCTTTGCAATCCGCACAAAGGGAATCCTTTTGTAATCCGCCTCCAAAGGAATCCTTTAATAATCGCCTCAGAGGGAGGCGCGCCCCCCCCCGAACAAGGAAAGGGAAAAGAGGGAAAAAAAGACAAATAGGGAAAAACCTGTGAAAACACAGCGAAAAAAAGGAAACATGGAATTTTTCTTAAGAGGAGAACAGGACAAATAGGAAAAATTGGAGCGACAAAACAAATCCTTTTGTAACCCGCCACAAAAGGAAACCCGATGTAATCCTCTACAAATGGATTCCTTCTGTGAGGGTTACACAGGAATTCCATTGGTGGAGGGTTACACATGGATTTCTTTTGTGGGGGGTTACAAAGAGATTTCTTTTGTGGAGGATTACAAAAGGATTCCTATGGTCGCTCCATTTTTTCCTATTTTTCCTTTTCTCTGCTCAAGCTAATTTCAATGTTTCCTTTTTTTAGCTGTGTGTTCACAGGTTGTTTCATAGTTTCCTTGTTTGTTCCTCTTTTCCCCTTCCTTGTTCGGGGCCGAGGGCGCTTTACCCTTCGAGGGGGATTACAAAGGGATTCATTTTGTGGAGGGTTACAAAGGGATTCCTTTTGTTCGGATTACACAGGGATTCCCTTTGTGGGGATTACAAAGGAATTCCATTTGTGGAGGGTTACACTGGGATTCTTTTTTGTGGGGGGTTACAAACATATTTCTTTTGTGGAGGATTACAAAAGCATTCCGATTGTCGCTCCACTTTTCCTATTTTTCGTTTTCTGTCTTCAAGATAATTTCAATGTTTCCTTTTGTTCGCTTTGTTTTCACAGGTGGTTTCTTATTTTTCCTTTTTTTCTCTTTTCCCCTTCCTTGTTCGGGGCCGAGGGCGCTTTACCCTTCGAGGAGGATTACAAAGGGACTCCTTTGTGGAGGATTACAAACGGATTCGTTTTGTGCGGCTTACAAAGGGATTCCTTTTGTGGGGATTACACCGGAATTCCATTTGTGGATGATTACACATGGATTCCTTTTGTGGGGGGTTACAAAGGATTCCTTTTGTGCGGATTACAAAAGGATTCCTTTTTGTGGAAAGTTACAAAGGGATTCCTTTTGTGCGGATTACAAAGGGATTCCTTTTCGTGGAAAGTTACAGAGGATTCTTTTTGTGCGGATTACAAAAGGCGCACATCAGACACATCATACATCAGAACACGCCGTTATGATCCTCACAAAACGCACCCAGAACACGCCGTTATACACCTCACAAAACGCACCCCCACAATCCCCCGTACTCCAAAAGGCAGTGCCCGCATGCGCCCGCCGCACCGATTTCGACACACCCCTCACACGTCTCGTGGCCCCCGTCGAGAGCTCCACCAAGACCCCAAAAAGGCTACGCTCGCATGTGCCCGCTGCACCCATGTCGTCACACCCCTCACACGTTTCCTGGCCCCCATAGGGAGCTCCGCCGAAGGCCCAAAAGGGAGCTCCAAGTAAGCTACCAGTGGGAACGCCCGCGTGCCGCCGCCTTCCGGCTTTGGCACACCCGTCACACGCTCCGTGTCCCAGAGGCACACGAAGTTCACGAAGAAGACCTCCACGACTGCGGCACCCGCGGCTGCACATGCTTGGGCCCTTCGCCGGGCCACTTTGCAACGTCCGCCTCTGAGGGCCCTGCCCAGGCCCAGGGACCGTCAAACCTGCAGTCAGCACGGGAAGCCCGTCCTGTTGAGCAGGGACCGACCGTCCCGGCATTCCTATTCATACCACGAACTGCTCGTAGAACCCAAAAATGTTCTAAGAACAAAACAATGTTCTTAGAACCTAAACCCGATATGTTAAACTAAGACGCTCCCAGCCAGAAATGTTCTAAAAACATTTCGTGGAAACCACACAAGGCTCTTAGAACATTGTTTGGTAGGGCCATAGGCGAGCCAGGACGCTTCGTCACTGCTTGATCCTGAGGAATGGTCCCGGGGAGGGGGGCGAGACCTGCGGGGGCCCAGGGTCTCGAAACCAAACATTGCGACGTCGGGGGTCCGGCACCACCAGCGCACCGAATTCTTCAAGGGCGGCGCGCCTCCTCCGCTGCCCCCCTCCGCGGCCGCCCTCCCCTGCCTCCCGCCCGCTGCTGCAGCGGGGCCCTGACCCGTCCACGCAACGGGCAGCGGCGCTCGCGTGGGCAAGCTTGCGGCCCCGCGCGCGCAGGCTGCGGCCGCGCCGTGCGGCCGCCGACGCTGTGACCGACGAGGAGTGCGTACTTTCCGCGGCGGGCGCCTATCCCCGGGTGGCTCCCCGGGGCCACCAGGGCGCCGGGCCCAGGGGCCTTTGTTCGCCCCTCGCCCCCTTTCCCCTCTTGGGCGACCTTCAACGATTGGGAAGCAAGGAACGCCTAGGCATACAGCGCGCGGCAATGGCGCTTGCCGCGGAAGATCAGAGCGAGGGGGCCGAACGGTCTTACATAGTCCCTGGGTGAGCGGCTGAACTGGGGTTCCGCGGTGAGTCCCGCGACCCGCCCGCGACCCACCCAAGACCCACCCACTTTGCTTTGATCTAGATTCGACGCCTGCGATGGGCTTCTTAAAACTTGCTGTCGAACCTCGCGGAACGCCGACGACCTCGCCGCCTCCTTCACTCGTATCCGCAACTGAGGGGTGTAGGTACAAACAAATAAGGAAAAAACGATTGCGCATCGTCGGACAAAAATGGGTAAACACATGATGCAGACGGACTTGAGAGAAGATCGCGCTTCCGCCGGCCTCCCCCAAGAAAAAGAAAAAGTGAAAACCACTAGACTCTTGAACATTGGAAGGTGCCTTTATGAAAGTATATTGGTATTCAACTGCAGAAGTACATGGACTCGACGAGCGACGGATATGGGTCAGCTGGTCGATCAAAAGGCGATGTCCTCATGTACGTTACACAGGGCATTCATTATGTTGTTCCTCGCGCTGCTCGTCAGCGTGATGTGTGCGCTGCGGTGTCGTATCACATGACGTTATGCTGTCTCGCCGTTCTTACGTCATGTGGACACGCCCCGAAGATGCGGGGGCAAACACAACGCCTTGTGGGTCGTCAACCGCCAAACGCTGCTACTCTCATGTTTTACGCTGCGATTCACATGTTGATGTTTGTTGCGGTTTTCTGACATGAATGAATCAGACGTTCCTAAGCAGTGTCTGTGGAGCTCCTGGAAACCCCAAACAACAGCCAAAAACTACAAATAGCAGCGTTAGGTTTTCTCCCTGACCAACAAACAAGCAGCACACAACACACATAAATAGCATGGCTTGATGACCACGCTCCTCCCGCATGTCTCCTGCGGCGTCCTCCTCGTTTGGGGATCTGCTGACCTGGGTCAATCCAGATCCGGGTCAGTCGGGCTTTGCAGGATCCTGCAAGATCCTGAAGGGTGATGCAAGATCCTGCACGCAGGCCCAGGTCAATGCAACCCTGGCTCAACAGGATCCTGCGAGACCCTGCGCGCTGACCGACCTCCGTTTGCATTGACCCCCATCTCTTGAGCCCCCACCTGAGCCCGAAGTGGTCCAGCGCCGATCCAAGAAATCCGCGCGGACCTCCGAAAGTTCAGGCTCGGTAGGAGAGCGCCGCCATCTCCAGCCAGCACGGGACGGAGAAGGGCGTGCAAGGAGGGCACTCTTGCTATTCGCGGCGATAACGGGCGCTGTGAAGGGGGGAGGGACTCGTTCCCCCGTCTCTTGAACCCCGACTGGTTCAGGAATCGTCTGACCCAGGTCAATCCAGACCCGGGTCAGCAGGAAACCAAAAAACTGCAATGCACGAAAAAACAGCTGCAACGCAGGGCTTCGCAGACCCCGGTTACCTAAATACGCGCGGCCGCCTCGCGGCCACGAGCGGCTCGCTAACCCGGGTCTTCGCAGGATCCTGCAGGATCTGGTGCCCTGGCTGACCCCCGTTTGCATTGACCCCTGTCTCTTGAGCCTCGGGAGCGGCCAAGAGGGGGGTCCAAGAGGGGGGGGTGCAAATCATGACCGGCGGCATGTGCGCGGCCCAGCGGGGGGGCCAGGGACGTAATGAAATAAGAAGAGGCGCCATGAAATCTGGAGAAATCTCATGGCCCACGCCATGATATCCACCCCCCCCTAGTCATCACCCCCCTCTTTGCCGCCCCCGAGAGCCCCGACTGGTTCGCCCTCCCTGCCGCCCGGGCCTGACAAAGAGACGGCCGCCCACCCTCCCCCC